ATCTTAACACCCGTTCTTGTCAAGATGAGTATTGCTGAAGGTTGGATTTTATTATTCCCGTTTCCATCTTAACCTTGAATTTAGTTATCCTTTCAAAATTTTGAGGGCTGGCTAATCCCAATTGCGGATAATGCAAGAATTGTAATTTTGTTATTTTGATTTTGTACCGGTCGATTTGAATTTATAATAAAAGTTAATATTTAAAATAAAGTAAAAATATGATAACCTTTTTATATCGTTATTTTTAGGCTTACGGATATTACTATTATTTCAATTTATTTTTACCATTATTGTTTCCACTCACATGTTTTCCAGGAAAAAAATACCTCAATGAGAAAATCTGGAGGAGGAAGGAAAGTGGGACAGACGATACGAGGAATGCAAATAGAGTTGAGTTAAAGAAAGAAGAAACAAAGAAGGGGAAAAGAAATATTATTTAACATTATTGGTTTGGGTCCCAAGGCAATTGCATCCGAATTCTTTCAGTTTCAAGCTAACATCGATATCAACTCTCCAAAATGGCGATTTTGCTAAGGCAAAGTATATTCCCGATCGCTTGAGCATCTGGGTATGTTCCTTCCTCTCTAATTTGCTTCGTGGTTTTTCCTTTGCCTGCCACTTTTTGCCCCTTCGATGGAACTCATAAAATTTATGTTAATTCAAGCAATTTGATCAGAAACTTGCACTGCTCTCACTCATTCATTTGCTCGCTCGCTCACTCTCTCCCTCTCTCTCTCATTTGCGTCTGTTTAATGAAGTTTCTACCGTTGGGGAATTACTTGAGTACATTTCTTGTTGAATGCTCTTAATCTGATGCCAGTTCCTTCTGAGACGGTTAAGATCGCCGTCCGTTCTGCTGCAAGATGCATTGATTTATACATCCATTTATCTTATTATTTTTTAACAAAAATGAAAAGTAAAATAGAACTTCGATTTCGAAGTCTGCATCTGCATTGAGAACGAGCATTCTAGCTTATAAGTGGGCTGCCTGTCTCTTAAATTTACTTACTTCAGTCAATTCCTTCTTATCAGTTTGTTGTTATTTGTTGATCAATCTCCTATGTTTAACTTCTCTTTTTTACCTTTGCGTCAAATCCTGAAATTTTAGTTATTTTTGATGTGTTCTCAGTAAATTTACTGCCTTACTTTATTGGTGTTCCCCCTACTTCATACGGGGGGTTTCACATATAAGATGAGATAATCTACTTCTGTGATAATACATCTACCATCATTAATGAACAAAAATGGAAGACTCACCAGAGCGTAGTGAGAGATAGAAAACCCAACAGAAGCATTTTATGCTTAGAAACTCTGAATGGTGGTGCCAAGGCCATATTGTTAAATTTCTTTTTCTTTGTTTTTGTTATTATTTATTCTATGAGCGTGGGAGGTGCCAGTTTACAATGCCTTCTATCTGCAAACTAAAGGGCTTGGAGATTGTATATATGGAGACTGCTGTTTAATTGTAAGACTTAGTCCAGAAGGGCATGAGTTACTACGCTTCTCAGCTAGGCCTTTTATCTTCCCCTATTTTTCTACCTAATATTTTAATTGGATTTATTGTAATGTAATTATGTTATCTTATGTTGTTTCTATAAGGTCCTTTAGCATGCAAAAGTTAGAGCTAAGCCAAACTAACAATGAAGGTTGAATAGCATGTCCATGTGAGCTGAACACAATGGTTGCTTAGAGGTTAGCTTAAACTAATTTTGAATAATCAGCACGCTTATGTGTATTAAGAAATTCATCGAAATATGGTGTTAACAGTTTCATTTTAGAGATTAGAAGAGTTGTTCAATGAAATAATCTGAATTCTATGATTAATTATCAAGTGATATTACAGTGACAAGATATGGATAAAGATCTTATTATTAGAGAAGTAAAAGCTTCATCTTCTATCCATGGTACTTCATTGCAAACTTAACAGAGAAAGTGGGATATAATTGAATTAAGAGAAAACATAAAGCAGTTGAAAATAACATTCATGAATAATGTAGACACAAAAGGAGGTACGCCACATGCTCCATTTAGTTCATGGCTATCTAAATGATAAGGGTAATGGGTTCTCCTTCTCCCACAAAGTTGGCTGAACTGTTTCAGATATCAAGCTTTTAGAAGACATGACCTTCTTATTTCTAGAAGAAGCCTTGGTACCAAAATATTTTACTGTTGAAATACATCCTCAATTTTTTCTTAATTGCTTGTCATCAGTAACTTTTAATATCCATCCTTAGTACATGGTTCTAAAAGAAACTCTCACAAAGTCATTTTGTTGAAGACCATTAAGTTATGACCTCATATTTTACAGTCTTCTTGTTATGATTCTTTTTTTTTTCCTTGGTGAATTATATCTATTTTAGAATTGATGATAAATTATTTCATTAGCTTACTAATTGGATGTTTCTTGTTCCTATTCTTATTTAGTGCTATTTTGTTCTGTAGATTAATTTAGTTTCTCAAGTTGCACTCATTATTTGTACAGTTTTGGTTGATTTGTGAACAGGCTGCATAACTAGTTTACTTGATATTCCATCATTATAACTCTTATTCACACACTTTTCCTAATCAAGAAAGAAACTGGTGTGGTTAGTGGGGTTTTTCTCTGGTTCAAAACTTGGACAATCATCCTAGTTTGCTGTTTTACTTGGCTTCATTGTCCAAATCTTATCTGTAATCCTCGTCGTCATCATCATCATTGCTTTCCAGAAGTCTTAAGTGAAGTTTAACCCTGTTTTTGCTTTAATACACTGGACAAGTTCTAGTTAAATGTGTATCCAATTGTATAAACTACACGTCTTCCTTTTACTCTTATTCTATTTTTAACTCCCATATATACACGGGGTTCACATCTGATTGTGGGATCATCTCACAGTCCATAAAAATTTAAAAGTGATTGAAATTAACTGGATAGAACTCAATAATAAGGAGCTGCTCTTCTTGTACTCCTGCCCCAACATGAAGTTGTTGCAAGTTGACTATATTTGTCTCTTTTCATTAGTACATGATCCATTAACTGTGACAGTCTTCCTGTTAGATCATGAAGTAATAAGTAGTCTGGACATTGTTAACAGTGAATGTCCTATATGTGCCACATTGGTGCTTTGAATTTCAACATTTGCATCCTCTGCTATAGCATGAAGCAAGCCATTGAATCTTGTCCTTTCAGTCCCTTGAGCCAAACACTTCATATATTGCTTTAAACTGAGTTTGACAAATCTTCTATATTGTTTTACCTCCTGTTTATGTGCTACACTCCAGGATTTGACTGGCAAACAATCCTCTTGCTTGACCAAATTCTGTAAAACTGCTTTTTAGTGTCACTGCAGTTGGAGACAGAAGCCAAAGATTAATTTATATTATCCTCAGATCAAGTTTGTGAATTCTTAAATTTTCTATCTTGATGTTGACTCCACATATTAAACTATGCATGCAAATGCCACTCTACCGCACTGGTGTTTGGTCTTTTCTTCTATCATATGTATTACCTTTATAACGTGATGCTAAATGTATCAAAACTGCCCATCTATGACACCCCCACCCCCAACCAAAAAAAAAAAAAAAAACAGAACAAAGACATGCACACAATTCTTTGCAGAATCACTGTCAGCATCCAACCAAACCCTCCATCACAAGAATAAGAAAGGAGGAAATAGATGGTTCAGCACAGATTAGGTGTCATTATCACCATAAGGAATTGTCACTTCCATTTGGACCACTAATGGATGAGAATTTGATCCAGTAAAATGACCAAATATGTAAAATTCCATCCACTAACATGGTAATGATTAGGATCCATTTATTCTGTCAACTGATATACTAGCTTTGGTTTTATGATGTGCTTTCATAACCCTTTACATATACCAGAGCTCTGTGAGCTTTCATAAATTCATGAGGCATATTTGTAATATGTACCAGATATATATGTTATATGGTGCTACACCATCTTCATTTCCATGTCCGTACCTTTCTGTGAATCTTCCAAAATACTAATGGTTATAAACAATTATCCTGGCCAGTCCTACCCCACATTAACTACGGCTTTCTTTTTTTGTGTTTTTGTTGGTAGGTCTATTCCTATGTTATCGTGTGCCTGTTTGTCCTAGTGATCCTTCTTTTTTGTAGTTCTGTTTTTAATTGCTGAATGTGATATTATTGACTATTGAGTTGCACTTATAATTCATAAAACTTAACAATTAAAGAAGTGATTGAAGTTGCATGTGTTTGCATAATGGGATTGACATGCTGTATTGTGATAAAAAGTTAAAAAAGAAAACCATTCTACAAAAAACCTTGACACAGTGGTCATCATTCCACCTCCCCAAGAGTCAATAGAGTCAAGTTGGGGTCCCTTGTTTAATATTGATGTACCCAAAGAAAACAAATGCTATTTGCCTGGTCAAAAATGAAGTTATGCATCTAAGAAATAATAGCAAAAAAAGGTAAATGAAAGTGAATATGACACCAATGTTATTAAACTTCCTTGTTTCTCTGGCTGTTGTCCTTGGAAGGGGCACAACTCACTTAAACCATTTGGTGATAGTTCATTTGCTAATTTAATTTAGTCTCAGTACTATGTTATTTGCCCCCTTACAATAAACAAATCTATTCTTAGCTTCAATGATTTCCTGCATGTGTTTAATACCACTTTCAAATTTCATATTTTCAATGCTTTATTGTGAAAATGTGAAGTCAATGCTGTGGTTTGATTGAACAGATAATTCAAACTTCTTTATATTGTGATTCACTCTTACCTTGGTTTGTTTAGTACATCCTTAGAGGGGGAAAAGGAAGGAAGAAATGAAAAGGGAGATTTCATTGCATTGGGATTTTACTAAAATTACTAGGAGCACTAAAAACTTTGAAATGGGACCATGAGAGATCTAACTGGTTTTGGAAATGAAATGAGCTTCTAACTTGATAAGGTTTTAAAAAAAAAGAAAGTAAAGGAAAAGAAACATATTAAAAAAGTAAAAAATAATAATAAAAAAGAAGACGGACAAATGGATGGCAAAGGTGCTATTTCTTACTATCAATAAATTGATGTGCCAATTCTGGCATATGCAACTACATAATGAACAGATTTATGGAGCAGTTGTGTTTAGCGTTTCTTATCCTCTATTTTTTCAGGACACAGTTTGGCTGTTTTGAAGCCTCATAGATTTAAACTTGTTTCAATTTCATATAATAAGCTGCTGACATGTTTACTCAATAATTGTTTGAATTCTATGACCAGATGATTGACATATTAAAAATCTACATGCAGGTGTTGTTGGACAAGTGTTGAGCACTTTGTCCACCAGTTAGTGTACTTCTAGTCTTCCCCAACAATTTAAAATTGACAAGGCAATCTTGAACTTGTATATTAGAAACTGCAGCATAATTATCTCTAGACATGAGTTTATTATCAAAGTTGCGCTGTATCACGTTGGATGTTACTGGTACTCTTATTGCCTACAAAGGAGAGCTTGGGGACTACTATTGCATTGCAGCCAAATCTGTCGGACTGCCTTGTCCTGATTACAAACGTGTGCATGAGGGCTTCAAACTTGCATATTCAGAGATGGCAAAAAAGTACCCTTGTTTTGGTCATGCAGTCAAAATGCCCAATATTGTATGGTGGAAGACTGTTGTGAGAAACTCCTTCATCAGGGTAAGATACATCTTTGTCATGCAACTTTTAGTCTTGCTTTCTGCATGCTTGGCATTTCCTTAAATTAGCATCTAAAGAAATGCTTGCTCTGATTTTTTTTAAAAGCAGGAAGAGCATGCGCTCATGGGAATTAATTTGCAGCAAATCTTGCTGTCTGAACATTGTAAAACTACCATATTCATCAAATACACAGCAGATTGTAGTTCTAAATTCTGTAACATCTAATTTTCGTATGTTGTTCATCTCTATCTTGACAGGCAGGGTATGATTATGATGAGGAGACATTTGAAAAAATATTCAGGCGCATATATGCATCCTTTGGGTCATCTGCACCTTATACTATTTTTCCGGATTCTCAACCATTCCTAAGATGGGTACGTGAAAGTGGTCTCAAAGTTGGGCTGGTTAGTAATGCGGAGTATCGGTATCAGGATGTAATTCTTCCAGCACTGGGTTTGAATGAGGCAAGTGTTCAATACAATGTAAGAAGTGAATCACGGAACTTCTAATTCAAGCTTAGAATAGTCTGGAGCACGTAGAATGTTAATGATAGTTCTTTTAATGATTTTTATGTATTCAGGGATCAGCATGGGACTTTGGCGTGTTCTCAGGTATTGAAGGTGTAGAAAAGCCAGACCCGAGAATATATGAGATTGCTTTGGAAAGAGCTGGGAATGTTGCACCAGAAGAAGTCCTACACATAGGAGACAGCATGCGCAAGGATTACTTGCCAGCAAAGAGTGTGGGGATGCATGCATTGCTCTTGGACAGATTCAAGACTCCAGATGCTGACAACTGGAGGAAATCTGGTGCACCTGTTCTCCCTGATCTGGTAGCTGCAAAAGAATGGCTTGCTTCTGAAAAGTTGACTTGCCAACAAGCTTAAATTCCTATAATTCATCCTCTGTTGTTATGGAAGGAAAAAAGATGTCGTTTCTTTATACTCTACCCATGTGTACCAACATAATTTTAAAATTTTAAGACAAAAAAGATTAGACAGTTTATCTGCATCCTTCATTCTTGCACCCAAATCAACTTGTTAAGAGGAAAAATATCAATATGTCAAAAGAAATGAGAAACTACAGAGATATGAAATTTCTTAAATCTGACTGAGGACAATGGTGCCGGACTCTGAAGAGTTTCAAGGAACCTAAGACTGCTTTCTTCCTCTTCGAAACTGCTCCTATGGCTACTACTTGAAGGAATTTACTTGAAGGAATTTGCTCGACGTAGAGAAAGTACTTGAAGGTATTTTCTTCTTTTAATTTCGATTAAAACATAGCACCTGAACAAATAAGAAAAAAAAATCACATAGAATTTTTATCTTATACTACATTTGCAATCAATATTTCTTGTTTTCTTATGCGACGAACTTAAAGGATGGTGTGTGAAATCCTTTCAGAGCATCAATTTGGATGTAGGAGGCCGGTATCAGGCGGTTGTGTCCTCCGAACTTCGAACATATATGACAACTTGAAAGAGTTGTGTGCCCCTTTCAAGAAAATTTCATATTTCGAGGTGTGTCATAGTTTGAGGATTAGGGGGGAAAAAGTAAGTCAAGAAAAAGGTAAAATGTATAAGACTGAAACATCATTTGCATTAAAAGAAAAAAAAAAGAAAGTATAGGATGAAAACTAAAGCTAAGGGGATGATACCGCAATTCTCAAGATGGAACTCATGAATAATAAGAACTCCAAATTAAACTAATTAAATAGTGCAAGGGAAAAGCTAAAAGTAGGCCAAGTGAAAACAAAAAAAAAAAAGGTGCCCAGCAAGTAACGTGAATAATTTAAAGGCAGGTGTTACTACTTTTTGTGAGATAAGATAAAATAAATTTACGTTAACTTATACTAAATTATATACACATTATAAAAGAAGTCAAACAAAAATTTGGACAACAATTTATTTAACTTTATATGCCTAGATCAGCATAAATTTATCAAGAAAGTGACATAAATTTTATACAACTTGTAACATTCTCGCATTTGTTATAATTGATATTTTAAGAAAATTTTTATGGACAAAAGATATGGCTCTAATTGACATAATTATATTATAAGATTGGATTCTTATCCTAATACATATATTACTTATAAAATAATATTAATAGTTCTTGTAATTGTTGCTTCAACAGAAAAAATTTTTCAAAACTAAAATTAGTAAAATCTTATTTAAGATGGACAATGTCTCAAGCAATACTAAATAGATTCATTATGTTATCAATCGAGGAAAAAATGCTATAAGAAATTGAGTATAAAAATTGAATTACTAATTTTGCATCTCCAAACTAGAAAAATAAATTTTCAATTTGAATTTATATTAGTTTTATTAAAAGATAAAAGTCTCAATTTTAAATTTGGCTTTAGGCCCTAAAATCTTTATGCCACTCTAACGGAAAGTTCTAAAGATTCAGAGAGTTGGTTTCTACCTCCGACCAGTTTATTTTGCTCATTTTGGACCATAAATTATGTTTTGTGCAGAAATTTTAAATGTTCATAATTTTTAATATATAACTTCATTTTCAATGAATTTTTTTTATTTCCATTATTTTTTCAAGATCTACGTGACACAAATAGCCAAAAGCTATTTGGCAATCCCAGCAAAGTACAAGTCACAGGAACTTGATTTCTCAACATAAATAGTATTTTACCTATTTTGATAAATAATTACATAACAACCTACTTTGGTAAAAAAAAATATTAATATTATATAAATTTGTTAAAAAAATTATAAAAGAGATAAAATTGAATTTTGAGTGTCAAATAGTGTAATGACCTGAGAGCTATTAAAACTAATAATTTCTTAAAATTAAATTACTAACTCAAAATAATTAAGTTCAAATTGTTAATAGTAATCTCTAATTTATTATATATTGTATCTTATCACTTTTAAAAATGAACGTGAGACAGAATATTATAAATATGTTATTGACTTTTAAACTAGTTTATAATATATGATGTCAAAGAAGTTGGAAGTTGTCCGTGTCTCAACCAAGCATAACTACTGTAATATTCAATCCATTCATTGATCAAGGATTCATCTGGCATTTTTATAGGAATATATGTGAAAACATTTTTACGCATGAATTTGGTTCCAACGTGTAACCTTCTCTTTCCTGTCTTCTTTCTTCTGAAATTTAACTACCTGAATTTTAGACCGTGGGAGAGCATTACAGCTTGCCGACAATATTTTGAAATCCGGATTGGTGATCAAATTATTAAGGTCATTGGATCATAGTTTAACTAATTTAATTATTTGTTGAATTATTTGATAATAAAAATATTTAAAAATAAATTAAGTATAGCCAAGTAATATATTTTTATTTAGCTTCCATACAATATTTAAGACTATAAGTGATGTAGTAATATTAATATATTTTTTATTATTATATACTCATTTCAAAATTAAAAATTTATATATAATTTTAATTAAAATTTTAAGAAATAATCTTTTTTGAGAATCTAATTTTTACTATTTTTATATTCTTGTTAATTTTTTATTTTTTCAATATTTAAATTAAATGAAATACATTGGAAAAAATTATTAAAATTTTCTAAAATTTTTTATACATTTAGGGCCCATTCGGTTGGGTTAATAAGACCGATAGGATAACTTTATCAGTCTTATCAGTTTTATCACACGTTCGCTACGTGTGTAACAGACTCGGATAATAATCTAGGCAAAGGCTTATCAGCCCTTATCAGTATACGGCTGTACAAGGGCGATAAACTTATCACCCCTGGGAAGGGAGATAAAGTTTATCTCCCTTCAACAGTGTTTTTTTTTTTTTTTTTTTTTTTTTTTTTTTTTTTTTTTACAATCTTGCCCTTCTCCCCAAGCCTCCGCCGTGCCCCTCCCGCTGTCGCTCCACCCACCACCGTCGCTACACCCATCATTAGCCCTCCCGCCATAGTGCATGCAGGTTCCGGCATCTGCTCACACAGGTGTCTGATTTGAGGGCGCCTGCGTGAGCAGGCGCGTCTATGCAGGCGTCGAGCAGGCACATCTACAGCGCTTGCTCGGAGCTCACGCAAGCACTCGATCTACGGGAGCTTGTGAGAGCAAGAGCTTCTGCTCACACAGGCGCATCTGCGTAGGCGCTGAGTAGGCGCATCTATAGGTGCCTGCTCGGAGCTCACACAGCTGCCCGATCTACGAGTGCTTACAAAAGTAGGAGCTTCTGCCAGCGCCTGCATGATCAGGTGCATGCCCGACCAGCGCCTGCGTCATCTGTGGCCCTTGCAGTTGTCGGAGGGTGAGGGGAAAGGTACAGGAGTAATTTGGTATTTTAGTCTTTTATCCGGTTTGTTATCCGGATTATTATTAGGGTAACCAAACATGTGATAAAAACATAGTTACTATTGGGTCATGATAAATTTTATCCTCTCTGTCCTATCAGCCTTTATCTTATTTTCCAAAACGAACGCTCCCTTACATGTAATTTTGAACCAAAGGAGAGAGAAAAGAGAGAGAGAGAGAGAGAGAGGGGTTTGAATTTTTGAACCACAGGGAGAGAGAGATAGAGGGGGAAGTGGGGTTTGAAAAATTTTGAAGGAAAGGGAGAGAGAGATAGGGGGGGAAGTGGGGTTTGGATTGGAAAATTAGGAAAGGAGAGAGAGAGAAGGAAGAGAGAGGGGGGGGGGGGAGGGGGAGGAGAGGGAGTTGGTGGGGTTTGGAAAATTTAAGGGGGCAAGAAAGAGAGAGAGAGAGAGAAGGATGAAATTTTTTGAACCAATTAGTAGGAATAGAGAGAGGGTAGGGTTTGAAAATTTTTGAACCATGGGGGGGAGGGAAATGTGTGAGGGGTTTTTTTGAACTAGTTTTTAATCAATTTTAATTGGTCTAATTTTATTTTCGATTTTAAGATATGATCCAAATTATTTATTAGACCAGTTCACAGTTAAATGGATCCAACTAGTCTCTTTGGTTTAGGTTTTAAAACATTATTTACAAATGTTAGAGTCTCAAGTTGATCACATATTGTCGAAGAGTTTCACGCCATCATTCGCCTGAGCCAGTCGATTTAATTTATTAGAAAAAAAAAGGAAGATAAAGAAAAATGCAGTTTTTACTCTTTTTTTTTTTTTGTTGAGACATCAAGTCCCAAGGAATTAATTTATGAAGAAATGGCCTGATTTCTCAATATGAATACTGGTTTTATATATTTTGGTATATAATTTTGTAACTATTTATTTCGGTAATATATATAAATATTTATATAAATTTGCCACTTTTTTATCCTTTAACTTTTTTTTCACTTTCTCTTATTGAATTTTCTCCCAAATTTTTTAATTTTCTGTATCTATATTGTTGAACTTTTTCTCTTTAATTTTTTAACTTATCTCTCCAAAACTTTTTGTATCAAAATTTTTTCAACTTCATTTTCTAAAAATCTCTTGCTAATTTTTTGAATTTTCTCTCTCTCTCTTTTTAACTCTCTCTCTATAATTTTTTTGAACTATCTCGCTCTATAGTTTTTCTTCTATAATTTTTCTGAAATTTCTCTAAATTTTTTAACTTTCTCTTTCTAAAATTTTATTTTATATTAGTTTTCAACCTTCTCTCCTTAATATTTTTCAACTTTCTCTCTCTAAATTTATTTAATTTTCTCTCTAAAATACCTTCAACTTTTTCTCTGTAATTCTTTTTCCTTAATATAAATGAAATTTCTTGAAATGCATTGTATAAAAAAAGTCATTAACTAATGATTCAAATTTTTTATTTTTTTGAATTTTAAGCCAAATTTAATAAATTATAAAATTTGGATAAAAAACACTCCCCTCCTTCAAAGTTTGTTTACATTTCACCCCGTTCTTGTTATGAAAAAATATTTTCATCTTTCGACTAACTATTAACTAATAATTACTTAATAATTTTGTTAAAAAA